GGAATGGTGCCTGGCCCATGCTGGGTATAGGGGTAGAAACACCAGAAACACTAGAAACACCTAGTCTCAAACAATTGTTTTAGTTTTTTTTTTTTTTTTAAGATTTTATTTACTTATTCATCGAGACACAGAGAAAGAGAGAGAGGCAGAGACACAGACAGAGGGAGAAACAGGCTCCATGCAGCTCCATGCAGGGAGCCCGACGTAGGACTCAATCCCGGGTCTCCAGGATCACACCCCGGGCTGCAGGCGGCACTAAACCACTGAGCCACCTGGGCTGCCCTCAAACAATTGTAATAGCTGTGAGAACTGTACGTGTATTGGTTAGCTATTGCTACAAAACAAATTATTCCAAAATGTTATGGCTTAAAATAACATTCATTATCTTAATTTCTCTAGGTCAGGAGTCAGGGTGCAGCTTAGGGCGGTCCTCTCTGCTTCAGAGGTTGCTCCCAAAGCTGTGAAGTGTCAGCTGGGGCTGTGCTCATCTAGAGAAGCATCTGCTTTTGAGCTCACTTGAGTGGTTGTCGGCAGGACTCAGTTCCTTGCCAGCTGGAGGCTGCCCTCAGGTCCTTACCACATAGGCCTCTTTCACAGGGCAGCTCACAAGATGTATGCTTCATCACGATAAGCAAGAGGAGAGAGCCAGCTAACAAGAGGACCATTCCAATCTCTTCTACCCTAACCTCGGAAATGGCATCCTGTTGCCTTCTGCTGTGCTGTTTGTTAGAAGCAAGTCTGTAGGTCTGGTGCACACTCAAGCAGATTGGAGCAGGAAGGACTAACTGTGGGCAGGACCATTGGGGGCCATCTTAGAGCCTGCCTATTCCAGGATATCTACGTGTTTTCTCATCTAGCATCTGGCTCAACTGAAAACCCAGAGCAGGCACAGACTAAATGCCTATAGGTCAAGCAGATGAGAAGGGAAGAAATTAGCAGTGGGAGTTTTGCTGCTCCTCCTCCAGCAGACTGTGGCCAAGCAAGAACGTAGGCTGACTTGTTAGATACTCTGAACTTTCAAAAGAAGTCAAATCCAGATTTTTGGAAGACATCTCCTGACTTTAAAACTGTGATAATCTAGCAAAAATACATGAGGATTGGGAGTTTTGAATGCCACTCAATGGCAGAAAGAGGCTAACCTATCCTACCACCCTTTGTATGTGTGTCCTATCTCCCCAGCACCCACCTCCCGCTCCCCTCAACATTCACAAGGGCGGGGAACGAACAAATCCACTTTGGATGCTTTCTGTAGCTCTTTGCACCTAGCAGCCAGTAATAAATATTGTTGAATGAAAAATGAAATTGCTGACTTGTACCTCTTTCGGGAGCATCCCCCTACCTCCCCGATTCTGGAGGAGTGGTTAAAAGTGGGCTCTGCTGCCTGAATAAACTGGAATCCTCGCTCTCACTTGCTTGTTGTGTGACCTTCAGCCAGTAACTAACTTTCCATAGTTCAGCTTCTTCATCTGTAAGGCGAGAATAACCATACCTGCTTCAGAGCTGTTGCAAATGATTAACTGAAATAATAGACTTCTTAGCACACCGCTGCAACTCCAGAGCTATTCTTACTGGCTCCCTGGCACCTCTCCCCTTAATCCGTTACCTACCATCCTCTTCCACTACCCACCCAGCTGGCAGCTAGGGAGAGCCTCGGAAACACAGATCTGTCACTTTCGCTGCCAGGGTTTATATCCTCCAACAGTTTGCTGCTGCCCTCAGTAGGAGAAAATCCAAAGTCCTTAACAGGGCTTCTCAGGCTCTTCTGGAGCTGTCTGCCCAGCCCCCAAGTCTCCTCTCTCACCACCACCTCCCTCACACTCCCCGCTCTCGGCACTCTGAAGCTGTTTCTTGGACGCTCCACATTTTCTGCCACTTCAATGCCTTTGCAAGTACTATTCCCTCCAGCTGGAACCTCTTCCCTCCGCTCCTACCACCCCTTCTAGATGTTCTTGCTACGCACTATCAGAATTTTTGATGTTCCTTTTTAAACCCGAGGGCAGGCCCGATACCTGTCTTTCTCACCCCTCCCCTCTCCCTAGCACTACGCGGGCACCTGAGAGGCTGAGAGGCAAATAGTCCTTGGAGGGGGCACTGTGGCTGTGCCTGGGATGCTGTGAGCAGACGGCGCCACCTGTTGGCCCAAGCTTGCACTTCCGTACCTAGGAAGGAGCCCTCACTTTCGGCCGCCGCCAAGGTCAACGGACCCGCCAAGGTCAACGGACGAGGCTGGGAGGTTTTCCCAGGGTCTATCGAGTGTCTTCTCACACCAAACTCGGCCATAAATAAACAAACAAGCTAACATCATCAAGTACTTAAGGCGACAGCAGCAGGCACTCTCCTTTGTGTTTTAGTGACTAACACTTCATTTTCATACCACTCACTGGATGAGGTAAGTACCATAACTACCGTCTTACATATGGAGTAGCTAAGGCACAAGGCAGGTAAGGACCTCACCCATGATCACTCTGGTAGAAACTTCTACCCCAGGCGGTCTGGCTTGGCCCTGCACTTTTTTTTTTTAATATTTTTTTATTTATGAGAGAGAGAGAGAGAGAGAGGCAGAGACACAGGGAGAGGGAGAAGCAGGCTCCATGCAGGGAGCCTGACGTGGGACTTGATCCCGGGACTCCAGGATCACACTCTGGGCTGAAGGCAGGCGCTAAACTGCCGAGCCACAGGTTGCCCCACTTTTTGTTTTTTTAAAGAGAGGGAGAGGGTCACCTGGATGGCTCAGTGGTTGAGTGTCTGCCTTTGGCTCAGGGTTTTTTGTTTTTTTTTTTTTAAAGATTTTATTTATTTATTCAAGACAGACAGAGACAGAGAAACACAGAGGGAGAAGCAGTCTCCCAAAAGGGCCCTGATGTGGGACTCGATCCCGGATCCCGGGATCAGGCCCTGAGCCGAAGGCAGATGCTCTACCACTGAGCCACTCAGGCATCCCTTGGCTCGGGGTTTGATCCCAGAGTCCTGGGATCAAGTCCCACATCGGGCTTCCTGCATGGAGCCTGCTTCTCCCTCTGCTTATGTTTCTGCCTCTCTCTCTCTCTTTCATGAATAAATAAAATCTTTAAAAAAAAAAGGGGGGGGGAGGCAGAGAGAGGGGCAGAGGGAGAGAGAATCTTAAGCAGATTCCACCCTCCCAACACGGAGCCCAACCAGGGCTCCACTTCACAACCCTGAAACCATGACCCAAGTCAAAATCAAGACTTGGTTGCTCAAGTGACTGAGCCACCCTGACGCCCATGGCGCTGAACTTTTAAGCACCCAACTCCCTGTTTCTAGTGCTTCCTTTACTCCATGCTCAGTTACCTGAGAGGATTCGTCCCTGACACCCACTTGTCCCTACTCTGAAGGCACTGCAGCCACAGTGGCATTAGTGTCAATCAAAATCCCACCTAGAGGGAGTGAGCCATTCTGAAAGCTGCCCAGCTCTCCAGGACACTTCAGAACTGGAGGCAGTGGTCTCAGCAAGACAGCGAGTGTAGCAGTCAGCCCCTGCTCCTCTCGTGACACTTCAAGCAAGCAAACACTGCTCTGAGCCCCCCTGCCTACTAGGTCCCCTTAGCCCAGCTGAATGGAATAGGCATTTAATTTGTACATATTACATCCCTAGAAAAAGAATCCCAGGATTTTCCTTCCTGTGTGTTTTCATCTTGTTTCTTCACAGTCCATGATGCCAACTGAGGTTGTCAGGACAATAAAACCAAACTGGCAGGACAGGACGGGAGCAGATTATTCTGCCATTTTTCTAGATCTTTGAACTGGACATCAAATCTGGGGCTGGTCACTCCGCACTTGTTAAACCTGCCCGTGAGGTTCACAATTTTCCCAGCTCTGCAATTATCCATAAACTCAAATTTGCCAATGTAACCATGCTTCATCATCACAAGTAGAAACCAGACAATGACTTTGGAGCATGGCCTAATAAGAACCTGGCATTTGCCTCTTTTCAGCATTGTTTTTTTTTTTTAAAGATTTTATTTATTTAGGGATCCCTGGGTGGCGCAGCGGTTTAGCGCCTGCCTTTGGCCCAGGGCGCGATCCTGGAGACCCGGGATCGAATCCCACGTCGGGCTCCCAGTGCATGGAGCCTGCTTCTCCCTCTGCCTGTGTCTCTGCCTCTCTCTCTCTCTCTCTCTCTGTGACTATCATTAAAATTTAAAAAAAAAAAAAGATTTTATTTATTTATTCATGAGAGACACAGAGAGAGAGAGAGGCAGAGACTCAGGCAGAGGGAGAAGCAGGTTCCATGCAGGGAGCCTGATGTGGGACTCGACCCTGGATCTCCTGGATCTCCAGGATTCCGCCCTGGGCTGAAGGTGGCGCTAAACCGCTGAGCCACCTGGGCTGCCCTCTTTTCAGCATTGTTAATGCTGTTGTGGAACATCTGCCAGGACATTCACATGCACCAACACTGCGGCCCAGAAAGATGGTGGGAAGAGCTAGATCAGATACCGCATGCAGAGTGAGGAGCGCAGTCCCTGATTCAGGTGAACAGTGAATGGCAGTGGTTTTCACTTACTTCCTGATCACTCACATCACACACAAAGCTGATCCCTTCGTATGTTTCATGTTGCCATTTAGAATCCAGGGACTGGCTTGGCTACTTCCTTCTCAAATCCCATCTCCTGTTACTTGCTCCTCTAAATATTCCTTTATTATCTGGAAAAATGCCCACCTGACTCCACTTAAATTTTAAATTGTTAAACACATGTACACAGCTAGTATTTACTGAGCACTTCCTTTGTCCCAGTTAGCATTCTAAATGCCAAAAACGTATTAAACCATTAATCTTCACAACCACCAGATGATTATCCCCATTTCACAGATGAGAAAGCTAAAGCACAGTCAAGTGACATGTTCAGCAAGTGGCTGACCTGGAGTACAACCTAAAACCTCCCACTAGTCTGTGCTTTTAAACACGTTAGACTCCCTCTGCTGGTGGAGGCTGTGTCTGCTGCCCCTGCTCCCAAATGCCAGGCAGACTGCTTTCCGTGTGGTAGGTGTCAACAAATCTGTTTTAATATATATACACACACATACACGTACATACACAGTCACATCACAGTGTGACAAATACCCCTTCTCCAACTGGGGAGAGTAACTCTACCATACTCTGGGTTCCTGGAGGCTCTCCAGAGGGAGCCGAGGCCCGGGAGTCTTCACAGATGACACCCAATAGGGGCACTTTTATTGGGCGAGTGGGAAGGGGCAGGGCGCACCTTGGGGTGTATACTGCCTGGGGCCTCACACGGGCCCAGAGCTCTGCTGCACTCTCTTCATCAGCTCTTCATCCTGCATAGACAACTCTGTCAACTTTTTGCCCATCCGCTCATGGATGTCCAGGTACTTGGAGACACAGCGGTCCAGGCACACGGACTCGCCCTTGGACAGTTCTGCTTCCTTGTAGTGGGGAGGCACGCACTTCCTGTGGCAGGCACTGGTCATTCTGGAGGGGAAGGAAGGGCAAGGTCAGCTCAGCAGCATCTTGAGGCAACCAGGAACTCTCCAACATGCCTGCCCTGCTAATTTCACATCCCAGGAAGGCAGTGTAAATCCTCAGTTCGCATCACAACCATCTGAGAAGGTCCTTGAGAGTGCTGACCTGATCTGAGCCCAAGTTTATTTAAACAGGAGCCATTAGTTGACTACTGGGTATGTTCCAGGCATCATGCCAAGTGCTTGACATGGCTGGTTATGCAGTCCTTACAATGACCCTGTGAGACAGGCACAATCTTTATCCCCATTTTACAGATAAGGAAATGTAGGCATGGAGAGCCTCAGGATCCTGTAAAGCTGGGATATGAACCCACAGGACCTCATGGCCTGCATTTTTAAATTATTTAAATATTTGGAAGTATTCTAATATACAGCCTTCAAGATAAGCCATCAAGAGAAAATACCATGGAGCTGAAGCCAATAAAACCAGAAAACATGTGGACTACTTACTGTGTACTGGGCATGATACAAACCCAATAAGAGCTCGTTATATACATTTCTTTTTTTTAAGATTTTATTTACCTATGGAACGCCTGGGTGGCTCAGCGGTTGGGCGTCTGCCTTTGGCTCAGGTTCTGATCCGGGGATCTGAGATCGAGTCCCACATCACGCTCCCTGCGAGGAGCCTGCTTCTCCCTCTGCCTGTGTCTCTGTCTCTCTCTCTGTGTCTCTCATGAATAAATAAATAAATCTTAAAAAAAAAAAGATTTTATTTATCTATTTAAGAGAGAGAGAGAGTGAGCACAAGCAACGAGAGGGGCAGAGGGAAATGGAGAAGAAGCAGACACCCCACTGAGCAGGGAGGGAGCTGGACGTGGGGCTCGATCCCAAGACCAAAACCTGAGCTAAAGGCAGACACTTAACCGACTAAGCCATCCAGGCACCCCTTGTCACACATTTCTACATTTAACATCTATAATGTCTCCTCGGGGTAGGCACCATTATTATCTCCATTTTATTTATTTATTTTTTTTACACTTGATCTTAGCCAAAAGGCTTAGAAGCAATATTTATTCATTTATTTAAAAGAACTAGTATTATGTATTTGAGAAAGAGAGCGAGCACTTGCGCGGGCATGTGTGTGGGCGAACAGGGGAGAGGGAGAGGGAGAATGTCAAGCAGGCTCCCTGCTGAGTGCAGAGCCCAATGTGAGGCTCAATCCCATGACCCTGAGATCACGACCTGCAATGAAATCAAGAGTCAGATGCTCAACTGACTGCGCCATAATGTGCCCCACCTCTATTTTATAGACGGGAAAACCACTAAACAGTCCAAGTGACTTGCCCACGGCCACACTAGTGGTGACTGGCGCAGTCATGATTTGTTCCCGCATCTGCCAAATGGTTGTGGGCACTCGTTTGGAGTCAGACCGAGGTCCTGGTCCTGACATTGCTACTGACCAACTGTGAGCCCTGTGAATGTTATTTAACCTCTAGAAGCCTCCATGTCTTCACCTTGGAATGGGACAACTAAAACCGACCCGGGGATCATTTTGAAGATCACAAAAGATGAAGGCACGTAGAATGCTCAGCATGTGCCCGAGGTGGAGTAGGAGTTTAAGAAATGTAAACCACCAAGCGGGCTGTGTGCTGTTTGCCACAAAGGCAAACGCTCAACCGTTCTGAAAGCCAACCAGACCTTGGACTGGGGCTTCTCTCGCTTGCCAAGTGCATTCCAACCTAGATGTCCAACTCCTTCTAGCGCCCCGTACGGCGTCTGCATTGGCCCTCAGCCACAAGGAGCGTAGGCGGGGGTGCGCACCCTCCGACAGGTGCCCTGAGGAAGGGTGACCTAGGATCACTGTCAAAGACAAGGAGCGCGCTGTCGGCTCTCACCTGTTGTACATATCGGCCATCATCTCCACCTCCAGCTCGGCAGCCAGCTGCTGGGCCCTGAGCGGATCCATCTCAGCGCTGCACCGTGGAAAAGATCTTCTGGCCTCCTAGTCCTGGGAGCGGACATCACCGTCAGCTTCAAGCCCTCCCGTTCCGTTTCCCATCCCAGGGAGACGTAGAGGATGCGGAAGAATCATAGGACACCGGGCGGGCAGGGGTCACTGACCTCAGTGGGCTCAACTACCCCATCTCACAGATATGGAAACTGAGGCCCAGAAGGGGAACACAGCACGTCAATGGAGGGGCTGGAAATCGAGCCCTGGCGCCCCAGCCCCTCGTGGCCACTCTACCCAGGAAAAGATCTCGGGACCGGAAAGGAACACTGAACCGCGGGGCCTGAACCTCCTGGGCGCTGGGAATTCGATCACACGCGGTGCTAAGGTTCACGGGTCCCGGTCCAGGGGCTGCACCTCTGACGTGGCGGCGCCACCATCGGGGTCACCTTGAAGCGAGAGGTCACTTACCACGGCCTGGGGCCAGTCACTGTGCCCGCGGTGTCCTCAACTTCGGGCAAAAGCTAGACAGCCACCGCACGCCCAGGTAGGCTAAGGCGGAAGCACGTGGGTCACTTCCGGGAGGGAAGTCCCGCCTCCACTTTGATCGGACTCGCTTCCGGAGTGAAGCCCCAACGAGGCGGCGCGGGGAAATCGGCTACCATAGAGAGGAGCCGCCGGCGGTGCCCGAAGGCGACTTGCAAGGGCTAGAGGGGACGCCAAAATACCATAGAGGCTTGGGCGCAGTGCAGAGCGCCTACAGCCTGGCCGTGCCGTCCCCAGGGTTTCGGCGGAGAGGTCGCAGTGCGACTGTCTGTAGGCGGGCGCCGGAGGGCGGAGCTCCGCGAAGCTTGGCCGCAGCCCCGGAGGCTCGACGGCCGGTCACAGACCCCGGCGCGGCGCGGAGAAGGAAGGACGCCCTCCAAGGGCCGTAGTGTCTGTGCTGCTCGTTACGGTCGCCCGGGCCGCTCCCAGTGCCCCGATGCCCATGCCTCGCTTCATACCAAGCAAATCAGAACGTCTGGGAGTAGGACGCAGACTTCAGTAAATGTTTCAGTTGACCTCGGGCGGTTTCTTGGTGCAGCCGAGGTTGCGAGCCAGAGCTCCCAGGACCGAGGGAGCGCAGCGGCCTGCAGGTGCTAAGCTGTCTCCGGGCTCGCAGAGAAGCGAGCTCGGGCCGCGCTCACAGGAGGACGAGCCGGGTCCGTGCAGCTTCCAGACGCCCCGGACGAGAGAGACGAACAAGAGCAATGTTGGCTGCCACCGGGGCTAACCTAGTGCATCAGAGCGAGGAGGAGGAAGGGGCTGAGGGGCTGTGAGCTGCTCTCTCCAGACCCCGTGCGTTGCTCCATCTGCACCCCTACACCACAGAAACCCACCCCCAATCCTTTTGTTTCTCAAGGGATTTCCCAGTAAACAAAGTGTAGAAGATGCAAAGCGTCCGCTGCCCATTGGAGGAGGTGGGCCGGACGCTGTGTGGCTGGTCACTGTGTGCTTCCCTCACTGCCTAAGAAAGTCAGGATCGTAAATTCAGCCCTCATGTCTCCTCCAAGGACTCCTCTTTCGCAAACCCTGTGCCCCAATCCTTGAAAATTAAGCTAGAGGTGCCTGGGTGGCTCGGTCGGTTCAGGGTCATGAGACAGAGCCCTGCCCTGGCCCCCAGCTCAGTGCAGAATCGGCTTGAGATTCTCGCCCTCTCCCTCCTCCTCTGCCTCTCCCCACGTGCAGTGCACATTTGAGCGCGTGCGCTCTCTCTCAAATAGATAAAGAAAATCTTTTTAAAAATTAAGGTACAGAAAAAAAAAAATTAAGGTACAGGTCTGCCCCAGTGGCTCAGCGGTTTAGCGGCGCCTTCAGCCCAGGGTGTGATCCTGGAGACCTCAGATCGAGTCCCACGTAGGGCTCCCTGCATGGAGCCTGCTTTCTCTCTGTGTGTCTCTCATGAATGAATGAATGAATGAATGAATGAATGAATGAATGAATAAATAAATAAATAAATAAATAAATAAATAAATAAAAATATTAAAAAATAATAAAATAGGGACGCCTGGGTGGCCCAGTGGTTGAGCATCTGCCTTTGGCTCAGGGCCAGATTCCGGGATGGAGTCCCGCATCAGGCTCCTTGCATGGACCCTGCCTTTCCTCTCTCTGCCCCTGTCTCTGCCCCTCTCTCTGTGTGTGTCTCTCATAAATAAATAAATAAATAAAATCTTTAAAAATAAAAAAAGTTAAAAATTAAAAAATAAATAAAATAAATATTTCTCAATTCATAGACACACACTTCAAAAAAAATTTAAGGTATAACAGGGGCCCCTAGCTGGCTCAGTCAGTAGAGCATTCAACTCTTGATTCCAAACCTCCCCCCACCCCCCACCCAGCCATCCTCCTGAATTTGAGCCCCACCTTGGGTGTAGAGGTTACTTAAAAACTATTTTTTTTCAATAAAATTAAGGTATGACATCTATACAGGAAAATGACTAAAATACATAAAATTTAAGCTTAATTTTTAAATATATATTTATGCTCATAAGCACCACTCAGATCAAAATACAATGTATTTCCAACACCCTTAAAAGTTATCTTATGTTCCTGACCAGTCAATACCGGCTCTCCCAAAGTTAACCAGTATTCTGACTTCTATTGCCACCAGTTAGTTTTGCCTATTCTTGAACTTCAGGTAAATGGAGTCATACACTATTTGTTGGTTTGTGCCTGACTTCTTTAGCTCAATGTAGTGTCTAAGATTTCATCCACATTGTTGTGTGTAACCATTATTCATTCTTTTTTATTGCTGTCTAGTGTTAGATTGTATGAATGAGCCACAGGTAATTTATCCATTCACTGTTGATAGATTTTTGGGTTGTTTCCAGCTTGGGGCTGTTAGAACAATGTTGCTGTGAAAACTATTGTATGTATGTTTTAGTGGACACATGTTGTAGTGGTTTTTGCTTTTAATAATATAGTCAACATATTATGGAATATAATTGCATGGGAGGGACGCCTGGGTGGCTCAGCGGTTGAGCTTGCCTTCAGCTCAGGGCATGATCCCAGGGTCCTGGAATGGAGTCCCACGTTGGATTCCTTGCAAGGAGCCTGCTTCTCCCTCTGCCTATGACCTTGCCTCTCGTGAATAAATAAATGAAATCTTTAAAAGAAAAAGAAATCGCATGGGAAAAGGAGATAGGTTCTTAAAAGTGTAATCTGTTTCCTCGATAGGATTTTTATTAGGAAAAAAAAAGGATTTTTATTAGATGTTACGAAAGCATACTATATAATTCCATTTAAATAATATTCTCAAAATGACAAAATTATAGAGACAAAGAGATAAATGGTTGCCAAGGGTTAGAGCCATCCAGGTGAGAAGAGGGAGGAAGGTGTGCCTATAAAGGAGTAGAACAAAGGAGATCTTTGTGGCAATGGAATGGTTATCCACCCAGATTGTGGAGATATTTACATGAATTTTTTTTAAGATTTCATTTATTTACTCATGAGAGACACAGAGAAAGAGAGAGGCAGAGACACAGGCAGAGGGAGAAGCAGGCTCCATGCAGGGAGCCTGACGTGGACTCAATCCTGGGACCCCAGGATCATGCCCTGGGCAGAAGGCAGGTGCTAAACCACTGAGCCACCCCGGGGTCCCTGTTTATATGAATCTAAACATGTGATAAGATGTCATAGAACTATACACACTATTGTTCCAGTGTCAATATCTTGGCTTTGATATTGCATATAGTTATGTAAGATTTAACTGTCAGTACTCTGTACTATTTATGCAACTTCCTGTAATCCTACAATTATGTCAAAATAAAAAGTTAAAACAATCCTTACAAAAAAGAAAAATAAAATATGCACTAAAAGCACCTAGTCCATGGCAGATGCTCAATAAAAAGAAATCATTGTTCTCATTCCTTTAATTTTTAGACTTTTATTAGAGCAAATTAAAAACATACAGAAAAGTGGAGAGCACAGTATACTGAACTTCCACATACCCATCACCAGACTTTAACAGTTAACATTTAGCCATATTTTCATCTGTTTTTACCTCTAACAGATAAAGTCCTTTTCCACAATGCCATTTTTTTCATGCCTTCAATTGTAGTAATGTCTTAATATAATCTTGTGCACATATACAATTTCTCCCAATTTCTCAAAAATGGCCCCTTTTGGGGCAATTGGATGGCTCAGTCAGTTAAGCATCTGCCCTGGGCTCAGGTCATGATCCTGGTCCTGGGACCAAGCTCCACGCCAGGCTCCCTGCTCAGTGAGGAGTCTGCTTCTCCCTCTCCCTCTCCCCCCAGCTTGTGCACATTTTCTCTCTCTCTCCCTCAAATAAATAAATAAAATATTTTTTAAAAAATGGCCTCTCTTTGGAGACACCTGGCTGGCTTAATTGGAGAAGCATGTGACTCTTGATCTTGAGGTTGTGAGTTTGAGCCCCATGCTGAGTGTACAGATTACTTAAAAATAAAATATTTTTTTAAAAAGGCCCCCCTTTTTTATGTGGCAAGAACACCTCACATGAGATCTACCCTCTAAACAAAGTTTTAAGTGCACAATACAGTTTTGTTAACTGTGTGCACAGTGTTGTATAACAGATCTCGAAGACTTATTCATCTTGGAACACCTGAGACTTTATTTCTATGGAACAATTCTGCACTTTCCTGCTCCTCCAAGTGCCCAGGTAATCATTGTTCTTTCTGATGATGATGTCATGGCTATTATCTACTATGAGACTGTGTCTTCCTTCCTATACTTACATGGTTGAGGATTTGAGAACCCATAGGTAGGAATTCCAATTATTCCTGTTAAGTTTCTTCTTATGAAAACAACAACAGTTTATACAGCCCCAACTTCCAAGATCTCTTTGGAATCCAGATGTGTCATCTAAAGTTGTTGACCTCTGTCCTGAGCCTCTGGCCTCTTGCTCTACCGTGTTCCACCCCTCCCACCCTCCCAGGCTCCCAGAAGGCAGTTGTGTATTTGCTACTCAGCATGGATCAGTATTGTCCTCTTGGATGGGACCTCAACCCCAAAGGAAAGGATGCAGGGTTGTCACCCAGAATCTTATATGGGCCCTGACCACTCATGAGAGACGTAGAGAATACAAAGACAGCCTAGGTGGACTCCCTTAAGAAGAGCAGGAGATAACAGAGCAAGAATGTTAGTGGCTTGAGCGGAAGGGTCATTCTAGTGGCTTGGAGACAAAGCTGGCACAGTCTTGATCACTGCTATCCACTAATACCATTCCTCACCACATCTCCTCACCTTCAGTACTGACCATCCTGTCCAAGCCACCACCATCTTACACCTGAGTTACTGCAGTAATGCCTTGACTGGTTTCCCCACCTCAGCTCATGCTCCCCCCTCAGTCTATTCTCAAAACGGCAACCAGAGTCATCTCGTCAAAAACTAAAGTTAGATCATGTCCCTTCACAACCTGAAAGGCTCCACTGGCTTCCAATCGCAGAGCAAAAGCCAACATCCTTAGAGGGGCCTTAAGCCCCACAGGACTGTTCCTCCCCCACATGACCTTCTCTCTCTCTCTCTCTCTCTCTCTCTCTCTCTATATA